AGGTATGCACCGGATCAAAGTGAAATTGGATGCCAAGAACAACAATTGTATGTATTCAACATTGGTCATAAACAGTCAGCAGAGAGTAGGAAATAAAGTTAATATACAATTACAACAGTGAGCAAAAGGCTCTTTGGTGCCAGTTTGCTGAGACAAGTATCCATTCTCTGCACAGAACTGAAAACTTGCCACTTATTTTGGTGGATTGTTGTTCTTGTTTTTCAAAAAAAGAGGTACTTGGGGTTCAACCCTGAACAAAAGCCATACCCTTTGAGTGTGTTGCCCTAATCCTAGATGCATAAACTGTGGTTCAGACACAACAAACCTTGTTGCCCACACCCAACCATACTCTTCTTGGATATGAATTCATCCCCTCCAGACCATCATTCAGTCATGGCATTCCAAGCAGGCATCTTGAGACAGGAATGTTCATGAGGACTAGTCACCCTGAAATAACCTTTACAGCCCGGTAGTAAAAAGCAAGAGATTTTAAGGCTAGAGTTGTAAAATGCAGGCTTCCAGGAGGAGGGAAGGTTTGAAGCTGAACCAAGCAGGCAACCTTTGGAGAATAGCAACTACAAGTACAAAGATGAGAGTCTGGCATTTATTCCAGGTGCGTTACCCTGGAATAGCACAATCTAGTTCGCTGGTTCTCAAACTTTGGTCCTCCTGGGATTTTGCAATTCAGCTCCAAGCCCCAACCAGTTTGGCTAATGGAAGTCCAAAATGTCTGGACCACTGAAGATTAAGAACTATTGATCTAGTTGACTGGAACATGATCAGCATCATGGCCTTCAGTTTTTGATCTCCATTTGGGGGCAGATATTAGGAGGCCAAGTTTTCTTGGAGGGTCCCTTCGGCTAACTGCAACCCACCTCCTCAACACACACACACACACACACACACACACCCCTTTCTCTTCCATATTAAATAGAGTTTCAAGCAGTTCCTTCCCATCACATCTCCATGCCCATGAGTCACTTAAGATCGGCCAAGTCACCGCTGAGCAAGAGGGATCCAGGAAAGGTGGGATGATGCCTGTCATGGGGAGGAAGGATATGAGTTTGGGAAGGGGGCAAGAAGGGAGGACAGCTCAGATTTGGGGTTGGGAGGCGTGAATGGGAGGAACAGGGAGCAATAGAGTCTGGAGGGTGGAATTATACAGAGATATACACTTTGCAATCCGGTGTGTGTGTCCGGGTGTCAAGTGGAAAAGATCAATTGGGAGTGCTTTAGTATACAAAGGGATCTTGTGATGACTAACAATCTCAAAGATGATTGTTCCTAGTCCTAGTCCAGTCAAAGGACCAAATGCATCTGAGGAAGTGGACTTAAGTCTAGGAAAGCTGCTCATGCTGCCAACTCCTTTCTTTAGTTAGTCTCCAAGGTGCTGCAAGATCCCTTTGCATGCTGATGAGGAAGATGAAGAAGGAGAAGGAAGGACAAAGAAGAAACAAAGGGGGAAACTTTGCAAAAGGTTTCTAAAAGAGAGCACCCTTCTTTTTACAATGCCCCCCCCAAAAAAACCCTGGACTTTCTGTCCCCAAACCAGGACTCCAATGCCACACCCCACACTCTGGTCCCCTTAAAAATAAACCCTCTTGATTTAATAACCCAGAGAGAGAGAAAAAGAATCCACTAAAGAGAGTGAGAAACCTGAGAATGGAAAGTACACAATGAAAAAGAAAACTATAAATCTTCCCCCAAACACAACCCCAGAAGGGGACAAAATAATCTTCCCTTGGGGAAGAGATGGACCAAGCAGCTGCAACTGACAGGTGCCTAAGCCCAGGGTGCCCACCCGTCCTCCTTTCCCAGGACCTGTCCTCCATTCCCCCACCTGCTCTCCAGGAGGAACTCCCAAAAGTCCTCCATATTCCCTGAGCAGAAGGAGCATGCAGCCCTATTTCTAGTAGTGTTTCGAGGTTTTCCTTTGGCATATCCTCCTTTTCCCCCCTGGAACGTCCTACATTTCCCAGTGCCTTGTACTGAGGACTTGGCTCATCCTGCAGAAGCCATAGAAGAGGGATGTACTAAAACAAAGGAGAGGATTTGCCCAAAGGGAAACCATCAAGATGGCATAGGAGACTCCTCCTTGCCCATTGGCATCGTTTCTCTATGGGTCTGGGTATAGGACTTTTCCATGGGGAGCTAGCTGCATTTCCCCCTTCAGAGTCAAATCCCATGGGCAAGGATGGCTTCTCGATGGGAAAGTCCTGTCATTGGTTTTAAAAGAAGAAGCCCCCCCCCCAAAAAAAAAGAGGGAGAAAG